AAATATTCATTTGTATCTTCTAAATGTAGGCCGCCAGCATGAATAATCAATTATTCGTAATTCATGATTTATGAAGACGATGGCAAATTTGATGCGTGTCTGCCAAATGGAGCCGGGGCTACAACTCTCGCGCCCCTTGGAAAGATACTGCCATCCCTTTTTCACGCTCGGCCGACTGGAGGGGGGCAAGGCGGTCATGGATTTGTAACATGAGGTCTCGTTAGCGTTGGTCGCTCTCGCGTGACGCTGCCGAGATCATCCGCTTCTGTAGGGGGTCACGGTGCGTGACTCTTTTTCCCTTCGTGCGGAACCTTCTCCCCTGCGCCGTAGGGAAAAAAGAATCCGGGCGGGGAATTTTTCCGCTTGCAGTTTTGTTTTACCTGATTTCATCCTTTTTTGAGGGGAGAGGGAGAATTATTGTGACGTCCTTGCTCTATGACGATTATGGACGGGAAGATATTTAATTAATGTAGTTTTGATCGAATTGAAGTTCTGATCTTGTTACATTTTATAATTTTAGGTTTTTCTTGTGGTATTGGGGAAGTATTTTACGTTAGATTTTATGTATGGGTTTAATCATTCGTTCTCCGAGACAATTTGAAATAGAATTAGGATTTTATCTTTAAATAAGTCTGTTTTCATTATTATGCAAGCAAAAATTCACGGGAAAATTAAAACGTCCATGCAATCAGCCCGTTCCCCGGGTTTCGATACACGGACCGAATTACCAGTGTTCAGCAGCGACTTTTACCGCTTGGCCGCTGGTGCGTGTACTGATAAGTTTTCGATCATTTTTTGGTAAGATCGAAGACCTATCACAAAAATGGCTGACATATTTTGGTTAATTGGTCGTCAATGCGAAGGTAACTTCGTGAATTCGGAAAAGTACATGCATAGATAATGCGCTGCGGTTCTACTTATTTTATTGTATAGAGGCAAAGTATGTTGACGAATAATCTGAGCGTCATTCGAGTTCCTAAACTTAAGTGAAATATTACTGTTGATATAAGAATATGTTAAAAAAAAAAATAAAACTGGCAGTGATCAACAGAAAAGAGCAATATCAACCTGATAATGTTAGAACCTATATTAGAAAGGAAAAAATGTATATATAAGATCTGAAAGCTTTCAGGCTTTATGTTACGCCCAAAGGGTTTTTTTTTTTTACCCATTTACACACATATACAAGTTTCGAGAGCATTTGGGCTTATGTCCCTTTGAACTAAAAATATTTAAAAGTAGCGTATCTTAAGAATTTTCAATAGACAGTCTTGCACGCTGGAGATTAAAAAAAAAAAAAAAAAAAAAAAAAAACTTGATTGTTTATTTAGGTGTACCTAATGCAGTAGTACTAGGATATTTCAAAATATATATATTTTGAAAATTTGCTCTACTCGTGTAACAACTGAAATAAACAAGTCATTCTGAAAACTTAATAAGGCAATTAAATAGTTTTTTTATTTTAAATCAATTTTATAGTCTGGACATGCAAAAATAAACAGTTAAACGATATTAGTGAAAAAGAATTTTCCCAACTAATTCTTTTGGCATCCATTTAATTAAGCAGTTTTATTGTTATTATTCGTTTTAGTTATTAAAAAATCTATTTATTTTGCAATTAAGTGTAGTAAACATTTTTGTATTTTATGTGAGAGTAACAAATTTTTGAAATTCTCTGTTTAAAATCTTAATTAGTACTGTTTTAAAACTGCATTTTCTTCCATCTGATATTATTCGTCGCCCATTTAATAATGACATTTGAAATGCGAAAGGTCTTTCTTTTCCGAGGATAAGGGGTCAGCTGCTTTTTAATACCGCATTCTTTCACTGCGCGGAGGCTAAATTTGATGTTCCTTGAAGTACAAGACATTCATCTTAGTTTGGAAATCGCTGTAATGAAGGGTTTAAGAAAAGAAGTGTAGTGGACACAAGAAAAAACAAGAGCAATTCAGTAGCTTTTGTTTTTTTCACAATAAAGATATAGTTTATTCATTTGGCAGCAGTAGGTAACATTTTACTTTATTTAATAGCAAAATCACTTTTATTTTCAGATTCAATTATTAATTACATTATTATTTAAGGGGGCGAGGCATGGGAAAATTGTGATTGTGAAGGAAAAAAATCTAATGAATTGGGGGTGTTAAATATATTTTTATTAGCCCAAAGGGCGTTAACCTAGAACGGTTGTTAATTTCGCTTTGGCATTTTGCGTTGAAAACTTTAAATGTCCGTTTCACTTTGAAATTATATATGAAATTAAACAATCACTTTTCAAATTGTTGCCACCAAATATTATCTGACTGTATTATATTTAAGGAAATTAAGTAAAGAATCTGCATAAATTTATGTATGCTTCTCGCATTATGATAAAACAACGGTACCTAGAGCCATCAAATTTTGAATAACGTAATCCTGCACCGAATATGGGCATTTGGATTTCTGTTTTATTATCGATTTCATATTTTGTAACACTTTAACGAATTTTTGATTAACAAACTCAACGATTTCAAAGCAAGCAATAGCAACACTGTACGGGGATGATTGTGTCCAGCGCGCGAGACTGTGTATCGGAAATTCTAAAGATAAGCTCTTTTAAATATTTTGCGATATTCTGTTTGAATTGAATTTAATGTTTGAATTGAATTTAATGTTTATCTGTTTGAATTGAATTTAATTAATGGTTTAAGTGCGAAGACATGAAATTTAATAAATAAAGGTAACACACAAAGCGTTTTTTAAAAATCTTTTTTGTTTGTTATTTTCAATTTGTTTGTATCATCTGAAAACTTCACAGTTGGAGACACTAATTTATTGATTCCACAATTGCATGTACTCTATTTCCTTCCTGAAGAAGATGTGTGTGTCTAAACTCCGCAGGGATTTTTTTCCTTCACCACGATGGAAAAAGCTCGCTACGCGGAGCATGACCATGAATTATTTCCCTCCTCGTTAATGAGCCGCATCCCCCCTGACGAACTGCCCATCCTCCTGCAATTCATCCACATCATCGTGTTTTTAGTGATGTTCGAATTACTTATTTGGACGGCTTTTAGATTCCGTTGTAAGAACAATAAAAAAAAGTTAAAACATCAGCAAAAAAAAGTGCTATGTGGTGTAGCTTTCGTGTGAAATAATGACGGCTGAAAAAAAAGAGGTATAAAAAAGTCGTTCTAAGTGGCCAGCATCAGTTTCGCTCCAATGTTGCCACTCCCGGTGAAATTAGACGAAGAAATACTCAACACACCTCACTGCGAATAAAAATTAAAACGCCTAACCTTTGTTGTCTTCATTCAACGGAATATTAATCGTTTTTAATTCTCATTAGGATGTTGTTTCTGTGAATGACTTAAGTATTTCGTGGTATTTTTTTGACTTGTTAACCTTCAATTTTCTGCTGAGTAGAAACATCAAATTTGTTTATATTTTGTTCGTTGCCAGCTGTTGTGGGACATGTGAGGTCTCTGTGGAAAGAGAAAAATACCAGCATGGAGGGCTTTCTAAAGGAAAACTGGCTCGTAGCTCACTTCTCCTATGTTCATTTTTATATAATTTTATTTATTTTAATTAGTGATAAAACGATTGAGGAAGAATCCATACTCAGAACACAATTGTTCTTGCGTAAGAAATACAGGTAGGTGCATGTGGTGCATATTATTTTGTTTAATAATAGTTTAGATGGTAGTAGTATTTTCGAATTCTACGCTAGATGGTGAGTTGCTCGTGATTGACTGTTTTTAAGTGCAATTTAAACGTTTGTGGACTTACGTATTAAATAAAAGTATAGTAAAAGCTCGACAATTTTGTAATTATTTTAATCAATTATGTTTTCGAATTGATTACGATGTTGTTTCAGGAAGATACTTTAGAGTTCGAATGTGCATCTTCATCTAAAAGCTTCATTGGAGATTCTAAGATAAATTATCTCTCTAGAACTTCGGCGTTATTATAATTTGTAAATTTTGTGAATACAGTTAATATTTCGGCAGCCGTGCACCAAGTAATATTAGTAAAACCTTTTTCCTCGTTACTCGCCATTTTTGATACCAACGACTTATTCCACAACTGATTCATATTTGGCTTTCTTAATCAATCCGGCAGATTTGATCTTTAACAAATGTCTCACATAATTGAGTGAATATTTTGTATTAAGTTTATCTGTTTATTAGGACTTTCAATATTTTTGTTTTATTCAACAGAATTTTTCAGTATAATAGTAGAGAGAAAATATTATTTCAGGATCAGTATTCATTGGTCGGAGTTTAATAGCTCTGGACAAGATTAAAAACATGTGGGTACCAGCAGTGGTCAGGTATAAACTCCGCCTACCTGATAACTACATTATCATGCTTGTTGATAAGTTACGCTGATTGTGATTCTGAAGTAACATTTTCCTCTACTCATAATGATTAAGGCTCCAATTTAAATGTTGAATGGTTCCGATTATTTCCGAAAGATACCTTCGTAACCTCTCAAACGCCCGATTATTGGGTGGGCCAAACAATTAGATGCCGAATTATCAGACTTCTGTATAGTGATGCGAGAGCTTATGTAATATAATCTTTTATTTCATCGCATCTGACTAAATAGTTTCATTATTATTCCACAAAAACCAAACGCAGACTGCCCAAAAAATAATGGTGGGATTTTGTTGTAAAATGGCAGCTTCCTGTTTATCCCACTGCAGCATTTTGTTTAGTTATACGAATATGGAGCATAATTTATCTGTGGTACAACTAATGTCGTACATTTTTTTGTAGAATAAGTTATAGCTATGCAATATACAGCTGCATCAGTTTTATCAGTGCATTTAAATAAAAGTGACGTGAATCTATTACGCTAGCTATTGGAAATGTCTAAATTTTTATCTAGCTATCGTTTGGGTCAGAAATAAAGTTTGTTAGTGACAGTTCATGTTTATTAATTTGATTAGCAAACTTATTTTTGCTTGTTTTAGCTGTATGGCTAAAATTAGGTTATTAATGAAGTATTTTCCTTTACAGACAGAGATTGCCAAAAGGTTAAATGCCATCATAGCACAAATTTTACCGTTCCTATCTCAAGAGGTAAGTTTGTTTTGTAATTGGTATTTAAATTTTTATTTAAAAAAGTAAACTAATGGAACACATCTTAGTGTTTTCCCCATTCCCTCTTTTGATTTGTATATAGTTTCGCATACGGCTAACGTATGTGTCACTAATAAAAAAATTATATTATTACCCGAGTAGTAATCTCATAATTTAACAATAAATTCAAGCTAAATTTTTTATTTACTGTTATTTTCTATTAATTCTCTGTAAAAATATGAAATCAAATAATGAGACCCTAACCTTATTATAAACATATCGTAGCAAAAGAATTTTCTCTCTGCATTTTTAAGTAAGGCTACATATCCTAGTTGTTTCTAAAAGACCAATTTAAAGCTTTTATCAAAATTATAGCATTTAGTTCAAGTAATTTAAACTTTTTTTTTTTTTTTCCCTCGTAGGTGGTATTTTGAAAACGTTCTCATAAGCAATAGGGTATTCTATTTTTTAATAAAGAAGTCATTATTTTTTTTATTTCTTGCGAAAGATAGTTTTGTGTTTGATTATGTTCACCCGAGCGCTTTGACCTATATATGAAATTATGTTTTATTTATGTATCCTTATGAAAATTAATGGTGGAAAATTAAGCCACTCCCGTTATCTGAATCTTGATCTCTTGTTATTTCAGCACCAGCAGCAGGTGGCAGCTGCGGTTGAGAGAGCGAAGCAAGTTACCATGACGGAATTGAATGCCATTATAGGGGTAAATATCGTATGTTGTATTTGTTATAATTCTTTTAAATAGCTGAAAATAATGGTTCAGAATGTCGTGTTTGGTACTTTCTTTTAATATGGAAGAACCTAAGCAAAATTCTGCCGGGGACAGCAGTGTATTTTTATAGGGAACACAACCCTTGTTTTGAAGAGAGAAACATCGTTGCAAGATGTATTAATGAGCAGTTGAATGAAAATAATTTATTTCTAAAAGGATGGTTATGAAAATTGAAGTTTAAATTGTAATAATGGACGTATCTGTATTAGAATTTGGAACTCAAGAACTGATTCATGTATTCATTGATTTATTTTTTAAATTGGCTAAAGGATATGCAGTCGAATCCTTGTTAATGGATGCTCCTTTTTAACGGACATCGATAGTTTAATTTCAGACCTTCAAAGTAGGTCCACCAGCGGCCGAGCAGTAAAGTCCCCTAGCGCTGGTAGTTCGGTCCGAGGTTCGAATCCAGCGAACGAGCGGGCTGCATGGGCGTTTTCGTGGTTTTCCCCATGTGTAACATGTTAATACCAACCAGTTTCACTTAGAAAAATCCTCCACGAAGGCATACCTCCCTTCCGTTTAGTGCCTAAAGTCCCAATCATATATGTTTCTGCTACCAGGGACTGGGCGCCGAAAGGGACAATTCTCATAAGCCGCACATTTCCACGAAATCTACGTAGTTAGATTTTCATTTTTACTTACTAAACAGGCTTAAACGCCAAACAGTAATTCATTATCGCTCAGATTGGAATCACGTGATCCTTCAGAAGCAAACCTTTCGTCTGATTGGTTGATCTCTACCCATTACAGAGCTGCAGCCGAAATATTTTCGGCGAGGTTTCAAAAAATCCCGCTTGTCCGGTACATCGCTTCCAGCGGAGCGTTTAAAACCAGTGCTACCAGAATCATTTCTCAGAAAAGTCCCGTCTAGTAGAGACCCCTTTAGATGTGATAACCCCTTTATGGCGGAACACGTAAAATAGTTATAATGAAACAACTGTCCTCCCATTTGTCAGACGGTCAGAAGCCTTGGGCCGGAGTGACCTTTCATGAAGTTAGTCTGTAGATGCAAATAAATTGGGAATGCTATTTCTCTTTTTATCGTTTATTCTACAATTAGGGAATGATTATGTATTGATAGTAAGATTATGCATGGCTAACTAGGCTAAAAAATAGCGAAATATTTTTGTAAATGGAGTAATTTACAAGAAGCATTAAAATACTAAAGAGCCTTAGCTATTTGATATAAATGCTTACCGCCTCATATAAAAGGGAAAACAAGTAAAACAACTCGATGAATTTTCATAAATATCCAACACAAAATTAGCCAAGTGAGTTCATTATATTACATTAAATAATAATCCATTTTTAAAAAGTTATTAACATTTCCTTAAAATACTAATTAAGAATTATTTTTCTTGTAACTTCACCTTGAAAATTGTGGTAATCATTTTTAAAAGAGTAGGCGTAATTAAAACAGAAGTTAGTAATAGTGTTGGAAAGATTTAAGTATGTTTCATGTGATAGTTTTATTTATTGATGGGGTGGAGCAGTTGATAAACTGCAAAAAGAACGAAGGGGGGGAGCAGATAATTACAGCCGTTCATGAGTTGAAGTAATGATTTAAATCACGAAATTTTCAGTTTTGGTTGCAAGCAAGTTGCTAGACCTACCAGCTTTTATCGTCGGAAGTTTGAACGCAGTGTGGAGAAGAAGCAAACAGATGTGTAAATATTGAATCTGCCCGCCTATCAGCTTTGGCTGGGAACACAATGCACAGAGGAAGTTTTATCGTATGTTTATCTATGAACTTGGAATTGTTATATGAAAGAATGGTGCGTTTTGAAAGCAAAGTTTTGCTTTCCTTGAAAGGGTTGAAAAATAGTTTCTGTACGAATCGTGTTTATTTATGAGTTTAATAGCATCCATAAATTCGAAGTGTTTAAAGCGTGAGGTTTGCTTTGAACTTTTCTCATATTATTTTACAAGTAACAATAAAAAAACAAACCTTAAATTCGTGTGGATTTTGAATAAAATTCTATCGATATCTAAGAACGGTCAGATATAAGACACGGAAGGGGGATTACTATTGCTGGTATGCTTAACTTCATTTTTATGTCTCAGGATTATATAGCGGTTAGCAGAGACTGTCTACATCCCATTAACAAGGCTTGCAAAGCTTGGCTGTATGTATCATTCACTTCCTCTTTTCGCAGGTGTAATATCTATCTCTTAAGGCGCTTCTTGGTATTTAAACGCTTAAATGATGAATGGATTTGGTCATTCCCGATGAATACTTTCAAACAAGTATCCAGTCTTTGGGGGAATTGGGTTTTCATTTTCATATATCAGTTTCTCTTCTGTTTATTTCTCTGCCTTAATTAACGGAAATTATAGGCTCTAAACTATGCCATGTTAGTGTCATGTTTACTGTTACTTTAGAATAGGCACTTCAAGGTTATTTTCCTCTCGCAACCGTGACTCAAAATCATGGTAACGACTGTTGCGGGAAAAATGCCGAATCTTCTAATTTGCTAAAATCCCTTAATTCCCTCTCTAAGATAATGACGACTCTCATTACGATCGAAAACAACGGGAAGGCTGCTATGACCTTGAAGTGCGCATTTTAAAGTAACACTGTAAATGTTTTTGTCAAAATAAAATTCGATTTTAGTTTCTAGTTAAAAATTTTAGGACTTAATTTTTCCAACCAGATACATTGAAATTGCAAGACTTAGAATGGATTCAAATGGAAATATTTTATTCGATTTTATGCCGCTGATGTGTATTATTATTGTTATAAAAATTAAACAACGAGACAGCTGGAAGGCAATGAAACAAAATTTTTGAAACTAATCATAACAGTTCACAGAAATTTGCTATTTTGTTCACGATCGACGAACAGAAGCACAAACGGTGGATCAGAGAAAATTTTTCCGCTGAAATTTTGATTTCTAAAATCCTTAGTTTAGACCATGGCGATGTTGTGATCTTCTTTATCAGTTAGGATCATTAACTGCTTCTGTGTATGACTTTTACATATTTTAAATTTTACGAGGTCTTTTAGTAGCAATAAACACGTAAAGTCTAAGAAACGTTGGAATAAAAATGCTAGATAGTGAAAAAAATAGTAAAATGCTTTGCGTGTTATGGTTAAAATGAATTTACTTTATAAAGTACTAAGAACATATTTGCAGTAATGTGTTAATTTTTTTAAAAAGGAACTTAAATAGGTAATAATATATATTCTTAAAAAATGAGTCTTATACCAAATATTTGTGGATAAATTTTAAACCAAAAAAGAATATGAAAAATCTTATGAACACCAAAATCTTGGATCTTTAGTTCATCAAATTTACATTTCATTGCCACCATAAGATACTATCTCCAAACCAGTGACGAAGTTTACATGATTTGGTGGTATTGAACCATTTTGCTTTTCTTCCTATTTCTTTAATTTTCTCCGGTGAAGTTGAAGCAATAAATTATTACATAATGATGTTAGTTCTAGAATATCAAGTGTAAACATAAAAATTTTACCGTTAACATTGAAAAATGCATATAGTCGAGGAATTTTATAGCGTAAACTGCGAAATTGAATTAAAGGAACTGGAGCTTGTATAGCCAGTTTGCCGAAATTTAATCCATTGTTTAAACGGCCTTTCATCGAAGGACGCTGACCAGTATCCAAAGGGTTAAAATTATGGAAGACTGGTAATATCTTTTTAGGTTCGGACACACAATGTAAGCGGTAGTGTCCTGGTTAGGTAAATCGGTTCGTAAGCGGTAGAATCCCAGAACAATAAGTAGTTTGACTACAGTTCAAATTCCGGCGAACGGGCTCGCTGCATGGCATTTCTCTTGGTTTGGTTTATGTGATTACGGCAGAGCCTCGAGGGCTGTCTGCCTAAGGGGAACGATGCCTTCGTTGAGGACGTCCTAAGGGAACTGGCTCGTATACACGTTACACATAAGGAAAACTCCGAAAACGCCCACGCAGCCAGCCGGTTCGAGGCATTCGAACCTCGGAACGAACCACCAGTATTCAGCAAGTTTACCGTTCGGCCGCTGGTGGGCCCGTATTTCTCGTGGTTTTCCTGATGTACATATACTGATTGCGAATAGGTTTCCCTTTAAAAGTTCTCCACGAAAGATCTGTTCCTTTAGGTGGTATAAGTGGGTGGGACACCAGAAATTCACTGTTGGTTTTACAGGCATAGTATGTTGGTTTTACAGATCTTACTGCACTAAATGTGAAGCTTCGCTGTAATTTTGATGTAGAACAAGCACCCCAGGGTCGGCTCAAGTGTCTGCCATGCCATCAGCTTGTGGCTGTGTTCTTTTCCTCTGGCTACCAACCACTCGAGAGAGACTTTCGGCTTCCAATATTTTAAGTATCCCTCCCCATGACTATACGCTTTCTCCATGCCTTCTCTCGGACTCGAATCCAGAGATCCGTCAGTATTGCAGCCTTTGCCGCTGACCACTGTACCGATAAGGCGGATCTTCCGTTTGGCAGATAGCCGTCTTGTACTGAGGCAATCACGTAATGGTGCTGCTTGGTAGGTAGTTGTTTGCTCGCGTCGCCATCTATTAGTGACGTGCAGCAGTGGCGCGAGTTTCGCATGCCCTTGAAGACAATGAGCTTAGGATTCGATCCTGGATCTGTTTGCTATGAGGCAGTCGAATATTATACCGCTGATGCAAAAGAGCTTCAGCGCGACAGAACTACTTTGTAACGCGAACATTTATTGCTACAGTACTTTGCTGTAATGCAATACAAATTCTTTCTTGGTTCGATTTCTGATGATGAATTGAGGTGTTTTCAAATGCTATCTGAAGCGACGCTTGTAGAGAAATGATATATAATTTTGTATTGCCATTCAAATGTGTATCATTGTGTATGGAAACATGCGTTACACCTTGAATAACGAGGTACTAAAATAGAAGTTTTATTAATAGCCATGCTTGTCACATTTTAATGATGAAAGATTGGT